TAATAGCATGACGTAACAGGAGTGACCGGGCTGCCTGTGATATGATAACATAATTCAGGATCAAATTGAGAAGGGAATTGTGGAGCCAGTGGACCACAAGAGCTTTGCAACACTTGGAAATGTGCATTACTTACCCCACAGCGAAGTTGTACGAAACGATAAGGATACGACAAAGGTTAGAATAGTATACGACGCGTCCGCCAAGAAAAACGGACCAAGTTTGAATGACTGTTTGTATGCAGGCTTTCATTAACTCAACTCATCTTCGATATCCTTCGGCGTTTCCGTGTCCACCCTATCGCGATGACAGCTGATATAGAGAAGGCATTTTTGAACGTAGCAATCTCTGAAGAACATCGTGATTTTCTGCGATTTCTATGGATAACTGATCCACATAGCAACGAACCGAGTATCATTCCACTTCGTTTTATTAGAGTGGTGTTTGGCATTACGTCGAGCGCATTTATCCTCATGCAACTTTGCGTCATCATGTTAATCAATACTTGCGCGAAGATCCTGCGTTTGTTTACGAACTGCTACGATCCCTTTACGTCGATGACTACGCATCTGGTCACGATTGTGTATCTGAGGCGCTAGATCAGGCGAGAAAGTTTAAAGGACATTGGTAACGAAAATTTTTATTCGCTATTTTTAAAGTGTTCAACCGTCTAATTATAGATATGGTGTTAATTTGTTCCAAAAATGTTTCGTTTATGAGTTATTTTCACCACAATTCAGCTAAAATTCGGACCTCGTCCGCCATATTGGATCAATTTTTGAAAAAATTATATTTGGCGAAAGTGACGTCATTTGATGGGTTCCCTAAACACACCAATATATTTTACTACCGTGTTTACTGTGTTTATCGAGATTTTTTGCTTTAAAAAGGGAGTTGTAGTTTTTTTATGATTGTCATGGAACATATTAACGAAAACCATGCAGTTAGAGGAAGTGTTGCCCTACCAATATGAGCCAAAGGTATGAGGGGTGATGAATGTCAAAAATAGCTATCGATCGTATGGAGATGCGTTCGGGCAAAATCGTAATTGACCGCAATTTAAAATTGTTCATAACGGTACATTACTTTGTCAATATCGTGATGCTTCGGGCCGTAATTATCGTAATGCTTTGGGCCGTAATTATCGTGATGCTTTGGGCCGTAATTATGGTGATGCTTTGGGCCGTAATTATGGTGATGCTTTGGGCCGTAATTATGGTGATGCTTTGGGCCGTAATTATCGTAATGCTTTGGGCCGTAATAATCGTGATGCTTTGGGCCGTAATTATCGTAATGCTTTGGGCCGTAATTATCGTGATGCTTTGGGCCGTAATTGTCGTGATGCTTCGGGCCGTAATTATGGTGTTGCTTTTGATCGCAAATCCCATGTTGCTTTGTGATTCTGTTTTCATGAGAATGTTAGTAAATAGACTAATCTACTCTTAAACAACTGTGCTTAAACTGATGAGATTTTTTATTCACATGGTAAATTATATTGAAAGATTGACTTCAAGATAAATGAACGAAGTAACTGTAAGTAATTACTTATATTCTTAGTCAATTAACTGTAAAATGTTGTCCTCAAGTAGTAGCATGTAGCATAAAGATGTTAAAATCAAACGAAGTCTATCTACTGTTTGATGACGTTGGGACGTTACTTTTTTACATCAAAATTTTCTGGTAAATATGTAATCTTGTAATGCAACAAAAGCTTAGACTATCTAAGGAAAACATAGACTATCTAAGGAAAACATAAAGAGAACTTTGACAGTTCGAGAAAAGGCCAAAAATGGGATCTCCATCCCAATTCCTTGCCGAGTCATGCAAAATAAGGATTTATATGAATAAAACATTTGTGAAATTTACTGACAGACTGTAGCGTGCCCTGACGATTTTGCCCTGTTTTGCTAATACTTTGGTGTTGATTAACTATCAAAACAATACATTTCTAAAGAAATGAAATGAGTATTTATATATAAACTATAAAATATACCTATAAATTATAAAATTTGCATAGCGGAACTAAATCGTCAGGCTGCATGGTGTGTGGCCACTACAGTGACATTGTGACACCATCGCAAGACGTTTTCTATACTTTCAAACCCAGAAAAGTGAGAAAACAATCATTATTTGCATAATAAATTTTTAGTATCTTTATGGTCGATTGTTTTGTTAATCATTATTTTTATCAGTGTAGACCTTCTATCAAGTAAAAAAAAATCGAAATATTTCTAGGTATTAAATCATCCTCGAACAACACTTATTCAACACGTTGTATCTATACTCCAAAGTGTACAGAGAAGACTAGACTCCCATAATGTTTCCGAGGATGACTTTGACTGGATGCAGTATCAAGTTGACAGGGCATACTATTTTATAGTAAGAGGTCTAACTCTGTACGCATTGCCAAACACCTTGCTGGTAATCATGGAGGAAGCAAGACAGCTGGTTGGAGAACTTAGCAAAGATGTGTATTATGGCTACTTTTCTGAAAAAATATTTTCAGGAAATAGAGGAAGACCCAGCTTTAATATAACTAAGGAACAGTTGGAATTCATGCTTGAGTACAAATTCACAATTCCTCAAATGGCCCAAATGCTTTACACTAGTGTAAGTACTATTAACAGGCGATTACGTCAATATAGTCTTTCGCCATCGTTATTGTATTCACGAATAAATGATGAGGAACTAGACGACATAGTTCGTGAAATATCCGCTGAAAATCTTAACTGCGGATACAAACGCATGCAAGGATTTCTTGTTGCTCGTGGAGTGCAAGTTCAGCAGCGTCGTGTCAGATGTTCAATGAGAAGAGTGGACCCAGAGGGTGTTCTTGCAAGAACATTGCAACTTAACACTTTGTCAAGAAGGCAATATCATGTCAACAGTCCCCTTAGTCTTTGGCATATAGATGGAAATCACAAGCTCATCAGGTTAAAACATTTTCTTTCTATAAACCTGTGACTAAATCTTAGGCCTAAGTTAAGGCGATTCTCCATTACCGTTCGCTTCACCCGCGCGGGCGTAGCGGCCTTTGAAATTCTGCCCATGCGACCGTGACCGGCCTGAAAAACAAAGTGCACTTCGCCCGCGCGGGCGGAGCGGATGTAATGGAGAATCGTTTTTAAACGTCGCATTTTGGTCGCGTCCAATGCAATTCAAACAATAGATGAGATGATAATGAAACTTAATGAGGATTATCATTTCTTTATCTAATGCATTCGACGCGACCAAAATACGACGTATAACCTAGGCTTTAAGGCTACTGGAAAAATCTGCTTTGGATCGGAACGAACAGGAAAATTTCCTTGGTCGGTGAGTTCTCAGGCGGCGTTTATACAAAGGAAGCTCTCCTGTCCTGTCCGATCCAAGGGAGAATTTTCCTGAGTGGAAATTAAACTAGCTTTTAGTCAACTTAGAACGCTTACTTACTATAAAATTATCAGATGGCGCTTGGTTATTCATGGTGGAGTCGATGGTTTCTCCAGGAAAATAATGTTTTTAGGATGCAGCAATAACAACAAAGCCCATACAGTTTATCAACTTTTTAACTCTGCTGTGGTAACTCATGGATTACCTTCAAGAGTGCGCGGTGATCACGGAGTGGAAAATACCCAAGTTGCCCGGTTTATGTTTAGTCACCCGTTACGAGGGCCCAACAGGGGAAGCTTCATTTCTGGCCGAAGCGTGCACAACACCAGAATTGAAAGATTATGGCGTGATCTATTCGTGGGCTGCACTTACATCTACTACAATTTGTTCTATTTCATGGAGGAACATGGTTATCTAGATGTGAACAATGAATTGCATATTTTTGCATTGCATTATGTGTTTATTCCGCGCATTAATAGACACATACAAGAATTTGCAAACAGCTGGGATAATCATCCTCTTAGCACTGAGAACAACCTTACACCTAACCAGTTGTGGATTAGAGGACTTTTCAGTATTGCCAACGCAAACAGTATCCTCTCTCAAGAGATATGGCAATCAAATGAGGTATATAATTCGTATTTTAGCTATATTTACAAGAGCTATAAATAATCAGCAGCTCGATTTATTTCTGATCATTTTAGGCTGACAATTCTTATGGTATTGATTGGAACGAAGATTTGCCATTATGTGAAAACCAGTCAGTGGTAGAAATCCCTGATAATTCATTTAGTATTTCAGATGAGCAATACAGTGTATTGAGTTTATCGATTGACCCATTGAATGCAAGTAACTGCTTTGGGATGGATATTTATTTAGAAGTATGTTCGTTTATATCAAGTAGCTGCTGTTAGTTTATTTATCCTTAAACGAAACAAAGGCATTCCGATAATTTGGGGGCGTTTGTTCTAAAATCCTAGGACATTAGTCAATAATATCTTGGTTATACGTCGCATTTTGGTCGCTTCGAATGCAATTCAAACAATAGATGAGATGGTAAACCTCATTAACATCTCATTATTTATTTTTTGAATTGCATGCATTCGACGCGACTAAAGTGCGACGTTTAACCAAGGCCTAAGGGGCTGTTCATATGAGCCCGGTTATCCGGATTTAACGAAATGTAAAATGGACTTTGAGGTATTGAAAAGAGTCTTTTTGAAACAAACAAAACAGTCAGATGCTATTGTTAGGATGGTCGCACGACTACCAGGATCGTGTTATTTACTCATTTTTAGGAATTCATAGTGGGCACATAAGTGAGGCCACCAATGGGCATTGAATTTGCAAAAGGGGTCAGAAATAAACTGTATTTGTTTGAGTCCATGTATGGATGTAACGTTCCACGAAAGATGAAAAACGACTGTCGCTCACTATTTATCAACACAACTTATTCAAAGGTTTCAAAAATACAACAATTTTAATATCATGTTCATCTACATTCTAAAATTATAGAGACACGATGTACATAACGTTATGGGTATAACATATCCAATATCAGTCAGCTTTTATTGTAAGAAATCAACTGGCAGGTTGATTTGAAATTTAGGGTTTTTAAGTGGACTAATGCTATAAATGCAATGCTATGTTCAGTCATAGAAAAAAAAATGGTTTCGAAGAAAACTTATACAATACAATGCTTACTAGTTTTGGAAGTTGAAAATGTCTTGCAATATTTTTCATTAATATCAATAAACACATAAATATTAATTGTACCATAAGCATGCATAAAAACTACCAACGTTTTTAATACTTTTTATACCTTATCGGGAAGCTGTAAACGAACAAGAGCCATGACGCAGTGTTGCCAGCATAACTTTACGAAATTCATCTCCGTTGGCATAACAAACAGGTAGTGTAAGTTTGTTAAAGCAAGCATCAGAATCTGGCATTGACATAGTATCTCTTCCATACAAAATTCTGATCTTAGAAGATAAACCAAGTGGTGGGATGTCTAAATGCGCCGTACTGAACTTTAATAAGAGGTTCAAAACTGGAACTTCTTTCCCGATGACTGGGATATATTCTGAAAAAAAATACAGCGATTAGAACCACAGTGTGCAGAAGTTTATAGTAGTGACCCAAAGAAACTATATATATGAAACTAATTAATTAACCTGTCAAATTTTCTGCCTCGTTTATGAAATTCAGAAAATGTGAATAAGCACTCTTCTCCAGTTCATTGATTGGATCAGATTCGATCAGTGACAAAAACGAGCTAGCGTTTAACATACTAGCATATACTTCGTCACCACTTCTGGAAAACATAGGTCTCCATATAGTTGGTTGTTTTTTTATCAAATCAAGCAGGCCAAAATGGTTTAGTCCTTCTTTGAAGCTATTCAGCCCAGAGAGACGCTTATCGAAGAGCTCTTCGATTAAGATTTGGCTAATGAAATCAACTCTTGAACGTAAACTGATTATTCGCTCAACAGGCCACCCTGAGCGGTCAACTATGGCGCAATTCACTGGATCGTCTAGCAAACTTCCTAGTTCTTCATCAGTCGTTGCGTCAGAAATCTATATAATTATGAAGCAGCCAGATTGCAGCAAACAATAACTATAATTCATACCAGTTTATATATATATATTCACTATTCAGATAAATATGAAGTGTAAATTTACCTTGTTAATAAAGGTAGACAAATCGCGATTTTGTGGGGTAACCGGGAGATCATCTTGATTGATAAGTGCCACTGCTTTATTTTTGTTTTCAGAAGAAATATATTCATATACATACGGTGCTAATGTAGGCATTCCTGGGCCTTTCTGGAGGATTGAATGCGATATCATCAAACCAGCCATCTGTAATAAATGAACTTTATCCCAACTATGACATGGGATTCGGTGAAGATCATTTCCTTCAAACAGCTTGTTGTCCACCAGTCGTATCAAGTCACCGAAATATTCCAGCCGTAAAGCACCCGCATCAATAGCACTTTCAAGACCCTCGAACATTACGCTTAGCCGTTTATACAGCTCCTTGCGTGGAGTTGATTTGTAAAAAATCAGAGCCCTTTGCCACAATGTCTCACGTTCTACGTTAAGTATCTTAACGCAATCTTCATTCATACTGCTGGTATAAATGTTTAACTGCTTTTCCAATGAAGTGGAAGGATCTGAAATGTACATGCACATTTCATATAAAAAGCATACTTTTGTGGAGGCCTGCGAACATGTGGTTGCTTATGTCAAAACCATATAAATTTTCAATTGATAAGGCACATCACCTGTTTCATTCATTCCAAGCAAAAGGTTGACTGCTTCCTCACTGTCGTAATCACTTTCACGGAGTGCACCAAGAATAGAATTTTCTTCAAGGTCTGGGAATACCTCCTTTAAACGACGAATTTCCTCTGAATGAGTCATAGGTAAAAAAAATGTTAACTTTTGAGGTAATGTTTGTCTGTTAGTATGTTGTCTTTTTTCTCCACATGCAATAAATCTATGGCTATATGTTTATCAACTTACGTGTTAAACAATCCTCCGATTTTGCAACCGATCTACGAAATAATACGTTTTGAAGAGTGTAAAGTGACTTAAAGCATTAATATTACGCCTGTGAGCTAACAGTCGCACTCATGCAAACCCATCAATGATTGTGCCCTTCCTCAATCAATGGTAAAAACCTGGGCAAAATAAATACTCAAAATTAAGCTCTCAGACTTTTTTAGTTATTATTTGAGTTAGCGGTTAGAATAAAGCCCGGTTTTACCAGCACTTCATTAAATTTCCAACGGTTTCATATCACCTTTGATATGCCTCACAAAGTTCAAACCCTTTTACCTCTCAGAAACTTCTCTACTCGTTGTTTCCTAAAACATCAAATAGAAAGACAAACATTGTCTTCATCTGTTTAGGAAAGTCGTAGCTCCTGCACAATAATTATTACAATTATGACGCAAAACACATCTTTAAATTTTATAAAAAAAATACCATACCACCTCCAAATATTGTGTATTTGCATGTAACGCAACACTAAAGAAGCAAGATAGTGCATGGGAAGTAGGAAAAGCCTATAGGTTAGTGATGCATATAGGTAACATACAATAAATAGTTATACTGCTCGAATTTGCTTGAATGCACAACAAATGATAGGTAGGCAGGTAATTAAGTAGGTTGGTAAGTTCATTGTTAAAGTTCATTGCTGATTCGGTAAATTCGGAAGTGGTAATTTCCAAGTGTCTTAAACATGTGCTGAATTGATTTGCTGTCCAGTAAGGTCTTTGCTACATACGTTACCTATTTGTACTTGTTTCTGCCCTTGATCTCTAAAAATTATGTGATTAATGAAAAAAATTATGGAAATAATAAATTTGAAAGAAACTTATCAATTTTGTGCATGATTCGTACATTGTTTAAATTTGATCCTTTATCATCGTTATCTTCATTATTTGCACAGCACTCTGCCCTATGAACTTGTATATTGAGAAACGGGAAGCTTTTATTGCAGGTAATACAGTTGACCATAACAGAACATTCCACACTCTCTTCAAAGTCCTTAAATTTGAATAGAGATATTATTTATTATAGTCATTATGTGGACATCAACAGTTCAAAAAGTGCATGGTCTAACATTAATACAATACCTCGTTATTCATTGGCAAATTTGCCTGCAATGGTCTAACGTATAATATTGCTTGGCCTAAGCACTGAGACTCTCTAAGGTAAGGGATAGAGTACCCATTGATGTCAGGAATGATTAAATCAAGGTTTCGCACTCCTCCTCCACCTCCAACTGCTCGCAGCAATTGAAACCCCCCACTGTTCTTTAATTTTGGATATTTCTCCAGGACGACTGCGGAAAATGCATTGAAATCGGCATTTTTATTTGGGAATACAATTTTTTTTCTTCCCAAACCAGCTTTTCTTAATTGCTCAAGTTCCTCCTTGTTTGGTGTCATCTGGGCATTCATATCACTAAGGACACAAAAATCGTGGGTCCACGTTTCTTTCGGAGGAATAAATGGCCTTTTAGATGATTTATTCTGAGTGTTGACAAATGGGTTTGACGGTCTCTTAGCCTGTCTGTTTGCCAATCCAGGAAATGCATTCCTATACAAAGCAATTCAGAAATTGACAAACAATATTCAAAATCAATTCCTTGTTGTAATACGTAAAATTATCAAAACAACAAGTAACTATTTTTGTTGCCTTGATAAATGTTTTCAAGATAAATGACAAATATCCCAATTTGTTTAAGTTCATAAAGTTTAAGAATGACGAATCTACTGATCATCGGGACCGGCTAAACTGAGAGTTATGAAGCGTAAAGTTATCTCCGGAGAGTTATGACTTCGAAGCGTTATGTTCGTTCCACACCCAAACCACGCCGATCTGATTATGAAGAGAGCTGGTGAAATTTGAGAAAAATTCTCTAAATTTTATTACATCTGTAACTATAACTTCAACAATTACGCTAGCAGTAATAGTCTAGTACTAGTGAAACAAGATAATAAATTTTGGAATTTGCTGTCCACGGGCATCCATTATACACTTGAGAAATTGCATTGTATTAGGATTGTACGAAACCTGTTTTGTATTAGGGTTGTACGAAGCATTGTCCACCAGATAAAATCGCCTACGTTAAAAGAAGGGTCAAACTGTGATAAAGAGTGGTAAAGCTTTAGTTGAGCAGATGAAACGTTAATTGCTATATTCTATAGAGAGTACTGTAAGAACTCACTTTTGACTTTCGTGAGGGTTCGTGAATTCGTGATTTTCACTGATAAACCAATGAAAACCTAAAAACGTGTTCTTAAAACGGTTGTTGACCCAATCAATGAACAGAGAACAAAATTTGCAATCAGGTTTCTTTTTCAACTTGCCTATTATTAGTACACAAGCGAGAGCACACGTTTTGACAAAAATTACGGTAATGCATGCAGGTGTTTGTTAGATATTGCTTTTTTGTATTGTTAGCTTTGTTAAGGTTCTAACAAAAATGCGCAAACAATCCATAATCTAAGTAAATTAGCTTGTAGGTACACCACGTAAGTATTTAATACTGCAATTTAATGTATAATATTTAGTATTTAATACTGCAATTAAATTTTTTAACCACGTAAGTATTAAATACTTACGCGGTGTACCTACAAGCTAATTTACTTATTGATGTCACCATGAAAACATACAAGAATATTAATCCATAATTTATCTACTTGTTTCGTACTTGTATCTTTCTCTCTCTCTCTCTCTCTCTCTCTCATCCTAAGGATATTGACTTTTTTGGATCGAAGCTTGATTCAAAAAAGTCAATATCCCTTAATATGACGTCAGAAGTGGTAATAATCTGAGATTTATCCAGATATTGAGTTTTTTGGCGTTTAAAGAATTAAAAGCCCTGTTACGCGGTGCAGTTTTTTCAAAGACCCTAGATACGAGGTTGCAACAATGCAATTCTTCTTTTAAGAGATGTAAATTTGGCAACTACCAAAATTTTGTCTTTATTGTGCACTCCATGCCGTTTCTCTCACTTACATTTTGAAGACTCTTCACTAATTTACATCTTCACTAATTTAAAAGTAAAATTGCATTGCATGTTGCAAGAAAAATTGCACCGTGTAACATGGGCTAAAGCCGTCAAGCAGTTACAAGTCTTTGAATTTCGGCACACGGATAATCATGAACGGGCTTTTTACAGTGTTATACCTATTTGTACCTGCATGTAGGCTGGTGAGGAAGGTACCACCCTTTCCGCAACATTTTTACCTCTTTACCCTTTGCGCCGCGATTTTTCTTTTTCCCGCGAATTTTTTTGGCTTTCTCGACATTACCAAAGCAGGTGGCGTGGATGGGCCCTTAATCCCTTAAGACGGATTTCCAGCGAAATTGTTCGTTGGCGAAATATTTGCATATTTTCTTTTGAATTGAGAACACTCAAGTCGCACTAATTTATTTATGCTGTTTAAATTCAAAAGAAAATATGCCAATATTTCGCTAGCGAACGATTTCGCTGTAAGTGGAAATCCGCCTTTAGAGACCGCACTTTGTAGTAGAACTTATAACGCGCATTCGCGCTTGGCGAATTATCGAAAATTTTTTTATCCTGAATGGCAAGGTGCAGTATATGTATAGATGAATGCTGCTTGAAAGCCGTTACTGTGTTCATACTACAGGGTGTCCCAAAAAAAAACGCAACAATATTTATATTGTTCGGGTTTGCACCATAGTTCAGCTAAAATGACTTTTAGCATTGTAAATGAAGGATTAAGAGCCATTTTCAATTCCCAGAGGTGCTTATCTATTGCGCTTTAGAGCTGTATTAATGTTCTGCATATTTAAGTGTTGCTTTTTTTTTGGGACACCCTGTCCCTGTGTATCGGCCCTGGTTGGAACATGGAATAGAAAAGTAAACGACTCAACCTATAGAAAACAGCATAATTAAAAGTAATGTATTGCAGTATTGTACAAAGCTTTGCCGACCTTAATTGACACAAAAAGGTTGAATATTTGTTAATTGCCGCCTTGCCGCGGCCCTTGTGCAGATCAAAGGCGAACTTTTATATCTTAAATGTAAAAGTCGTAAAAGATTCAGTAAATCGTTCAATCGATGGACAAATTAAATTTTTCACACAATAAAACACGTTTCCTGGTTTAGACAAATTGCCGTTTAAATAAAGACAAATATAGTTTCCAAAATATATCATATCACAACACAAATTAAATGCGCTATTAAAAATTTTGTCATACCTATTTTACCAATCTAGCCAAACTCACTCACTAGGTTTAGTTTAGTCTTTAACGACACCTTACCTGAAATCTTGTTGCACTTGAGCTTGGTTCACTGCAGGTGGTCGAGGTGGATTCATTCTTGAATTATTTGCAGTGCCAGCACTCGTACTGGCACCGGGCTGGTTATTACCGATGGAGGAAGGCGAAGCTAATTCACGTTCAAGCTGATCTACGGCATTTTTAATTATTCTCGAAAACCTTGATGCTTTTTCGAAAGTATTAGAATTTTCAGACATTTTTTTTATTTATAGCACTGACTGTGTATACACTCTCTCATCCGCACCGGCCATGCATAAAAGCACATGTAAATGATGTAATTGCTCCTGAACGGAGTCGCGAAGCAACATGGGATTTGCGACCCAAAGCATCACGATTATTACGGCCCAAAGCATCACGATAATTACGGCCCAAAGCATTACGATAATTACGGCCCAAAGCATCACGATAATTACGGCCCAAAGCATTACCATAATTACGGCCCAAAGCATCACGATAATTACGGCCCAAAGCATTACCATAATTACGGCCCGAAGCATCACAATAATTACGGCCCAAAGCATCACGATACTGACAAAGTAATGTACCGTTATGAACAATTTTAAATTGCGGTCAATTACGATTTTGCCCGAACGCATCTCCATACGATCGATAGCTATTTTTGACATTCATCACCCCTCATACAAAGGCACAGGCGACGGTAGCGATGCCGAAAACGGTAGTGATCTATCTTCCTCTGACGAGGATTTCGATCGCGAGTTCGAAAGAACAAATGCCCGGCGCCTTGAAGAGCTTACTTGGTGTAAATGTGGACATTGCGCATTATTAACAAGGGTTGTAGAATGTTATTGCTGCTATGAAAAAGCACTAGAGTACGACGAATACGAACATTTCACAAACTCGCGCTTCGTCGTGTGGTAAACTCAAATAATATTTTGTCGTGTCATATGATTTCCCTCACATTATACGGCAATTCCTCGAAAAGGAACAAATAAACCGTTCGTTTGATGCTGTTCGATTAAGTTTAGATTTAATTGGGGAAAGAATATATTTAATACATGTAGATTCTGGTCCTATTTTAATATAATCGCTGCCGTTTCGCCTTAACAATATATGATCATTTACGGGCGCGTTGACACGTCGCAGTTAATTTGCACAGGATTGAAGATTTAATATATAAACCACGAATTCCAAAGTGTGAGACAAAGTACTAGTGAACGTATTATGCGTTTATTTACATTTTTGAACAATTGAACTTCTATACTTTTTAAAGTACAATGAGCTTCTGAATTTCGCGATCGAACAACATTTAGTTTTGCATGGCATCTAAATGAATATGAACTGTATTGTTTATGTTCAGAGCCTTTATATTGAAGACTAGCACGTGCGCGGCACGCTGGATTAAACGCCAGAAAAGGCGTCTTGTTTATGTTGAAATATAGTAAAATTGTTAACAGGGGAAATTTGCGCGCAAACGTACACACGAAAGTTGAAAGGAAACCGCCTGTCTCACACGCTAACGCAAACAGATGGAAGAATGGGGGCAGTGCGGTTAGAAAGTTAATCGCGTTGCGGGGAAAAACATCCTCGGACGTGCATAAATTGCGCGAAGGAAATCGATTTAAAATCGCATAATATCCCTTAGCTTTATATTTTTAATTAGTATAAATCTAAATATAAGTAGAATTCTAAACCTTGGGAGATTGGTTATAATTGTGTTGTGTTGTCACCGTAACGTCGTGTTGTGTATCGACGTGCACTGCATGTGTAAATATGTATGTACATAGTTCATATTCAATGTTCTCTTCCAAATATTTTGAAAAACATGTCCCTGTAATGTTGATGCATTAATTTTGCATAGGTATTTGATTCTGTTCCCCCTCTATACCAGCCTCGTACCCAGGCGCTTTATTGGAAAACATAAAGGCTGCATTCAGCGTAATATAGAGATCTGTGGCTGAGATGTGCGAGCGCGCAGGGGTGCTTGGGGAGGACGCGACGGGAGAACGAAGCGCCTGGCAGAATATGCAGATTTCCGGCTCCCACTTTTGCAAAAAGTGATAAATGCGTGAAGGCTACAATATGTAGATATATTTTGAAGAAGAATTGAACCTGCGATCAAAATTATGGATGATTTGGAACGATCGTTTCAAGAACTATCATTTGAAGGTAGCTTTATACTGATTTTTTTTATTTTAATACGACTATTTTGACAAATCTCGTTTCGTAAACACAGTCGCGCAGTATTTAACACTATTTAAATTCATCTTAATTTCCTTACAAAAGTATCATCAAGCTTGGAGGAGGAAAGGTATACGTTTGGTATCGAAGAATTGAGTGTTAGAGGTGAGTGCTTAGTTGCCTTGGGATTTAAATATTTCCTCTATTGATATTAATTAAACAATAATACATTTTTATTTTCATTCTATATCAAATATGCTATCAAGTTGCAATTTATATGTGTTACTAGTAATATACAATAACAAACTCCAGGTCAGATTGTTACCAGCCCCACAGAAAGAGAAGGAAAAGAATCATTTCAGCAGGGAAACATGCTTTAACCCCAATGCTTGGAGTTTGTGTGAATTTAAGAATAAACATAAGTACATATTATATATCAAGACTCGATTGTCAGAAATTGGGGCTGTTATTCATAAATTATACATATTTGTGCTTTTCATAGGTAGTGGAAGATATAAATCACCAAATTTATGCTCTGAATTAGAAAGGTTGTTGGACTATTGTGAAGACTCCAATGTCCATGAAAAACAGACATTATTAATGAGTTTACATGGCATTCTGATAATAAAAGAATACTTTGACACGGGGAATTAAAGAAATTTTCCCACATTCTACAAAAAAGAAAATAGTTGTTGGATGTGAAAATATGTATCTCCTTTTGAGAGTATAATGTAGTAAATAGGACTATGGAACAATATAATTTATACATGTATTATAGTAATTTCTTGGAATACTGTACACAACCTTCATCTACATTGTGTGATGTATATAAGTATATTGCTGTAGGGATGAATTAAGTCTATTGTTTGCTTTGTGGTACACCAGTTGAATTTCATGTACAGTACAGTATACCAAAGAGTGTTGGTGTTATAAAGGAATATTAATGAATTACTCTCTACATAGGTTTCAATAGTTAATTTTTCTTAACATTTAATACAGTTATTTATACTAATTTGTTAATGAAACCACATGGTAGTAAACCATATTTCTTATGGTTTACTACTATATGGTATCATAATATTTCTGTAATGCAGAATGATAATATTTCTGTAATGCAGAATGAACTTAATGTAATGGAAAATGGCTTAGATGAACAGAATCAACTGCTGCTATTACTGCATTAGATGATGGAAACATTGAACTGGCTAATGAGCTTAACAAACAGATTCAAATTAAACTCAGCATTGATAAAAACGTACCAGGTCAAAGTCAAAATTCTTAGTGTTTCTGGAGGTGTTAAAATAACAGATTCCCAAGAAAACCAAATTAATAAAGAAGTCAAACAGATGGAAGAAATGTGCAACCCAGGTGCAACCTAAATCTGATGTAAATCATTGCATATTCGAGTAGATAGTAGATACTCTTCTTTCAGCGCTCGTAAATAACGGTTTGCGCCTTAATATTCGAAAATGATGAATAATACAACGCAGTGATAATTTTTGCACAAAATCTTTCCCAAATGTACCGCCCGGTGATAGGGTGTACGGCAATTTGCTCATTTGCATCTATGAAATATATGAATAACTCGTCCGCCGGCGCCATATTTGTTGCATATTCTGCCAGGCGCTTCATTTGTCGCGTCCTCCCCAAGCACCCCTGCGCGCTCGCACATCTCAGCCACAGATCTCTATATTACGCTGAATGCAACCTTTATGTTTTCCAATAAAGCGCCTGGGTACGAGGCTGCCTCTATACTCTATTTTACCAAATTTTTCAAGTTGCCATATGAGAATACAACAATAGTTTATGTGATCATATTTCCCGAACCCATCAAATGACGTCACAAATGTATGCTAGCATAAGTTAGCATAAGTTTCTATTTTCAAAATGGCGGACCACCGATGAACATTTTTGGAAATTTTCTCAAGAACTAAATACGATAGACACAAAAAACCATTAAATTAAGTATTTCCTAGATGATTTTAACAGATTTGGCGAATAAAAATTTTCGTTGCCAATGTCCCCTTTTAGCTCCGACTATAGGTAGGCGGGTTCAACATGCGAAAATGGCAAACTAACTCACCAGAACTTCAGCAAACATTTCAAGTAGACCCTGAATTTGCAGAAAAGCCAAGTAGCTCTAATGTAGAACCCGTGCGAACTGTAAATGAAGAAGATCGTGGTTATATGAAACTAACTCTGGGAAATGAGAACGACATGATCAATAAGGTTCTTGGTTTACCGTTGGATGTCGTTAAGGATACTTTCGAAATTGATTTAGCAAAGGTTGTTGCTGATCAAGAACCAAACATTTGAAAATTGTGTTGAGCGTTTCGGCAAAAATTTACGACCCGTTGGGCCTTATTTCACCTGTTATCCTTCAACTAAAGCTTTGTTTCAAGAATTGTGTAAACCAAGTAAACCAAGTGACCTGGACTGGGACGAAAAACTAAGTGAACAGTTTTGTCAAAACATGGAAAACAATTGTTTCTAATCTGAAGAATGCTGGTATCATTACTGTGCCTCGTCGCTACTTTCTAAAGATGCGGACAGGGCTGATTGAGATACATACCTTTTCCGATGCGAGCAAATCATCGTACGGAGCTTGTGTGTATATTCCATATGAGCACGATACGGGAATCGATTGCAGTTTGGTTGCATCGAAGACAAGCTAGAGTAGCGCCGTAGAGTAAACAATCAATGCCACGTCTGCAATTACTCGGATGTCTAGTCGCAACAGGATTAGTAAATAACATTCTAGAAGCACAGCAAAATGTTTTGAGAATTGATCTGTGCTTTCTTTGGTCAGATTAAATGGTTGCCCTCAGCTGGATACGAAATGTTCGCAAAGAATACAAACAATTTGTAGAGAATCGCGTTCAAGAAATTCGGAAATTGTCGGATACAAAAGATTGGAGATACTGCCCTACGAAAGAAAACCCCGCAGACATTGCCTCAAGAGGTGAATCGGCAGCCAAGCTTGCAGCAGATGAGAAGTGGTGGCACAGAACTCCATTTTTGCTCGAGCCTAGGATTTCGTGGCCTGTTCAGTCAACAGGTCAAGAAGAAAACCAGGAAAGGGTGCGTGGAATAAAGACGCCGAAACAGATCGTAATGACTGCGGTTGCTGAAACAGATGTACAAACTTTTCCAGGCTCAGCAAGTTGGAAAGCTTGCATCGTGTAACGGCATATGTGCAAAGATTCGTTGCGAATGTACAACGTAGTTTGAAGAGAAATGAAACCTTGAAAGGCCCCCTAAGGGCTGAAGAATTGAATATAGCTGAGAAGGCATGAATTATTGACGTGCAAAAGGTCTTAGTTAAGCTGCCAAAGTATAAGAAAATCAAACGATCCTGGTCGGATCGAGAAATCTGATCTACCTGTTGAAACAAAGTTTCCCGTCCTACTACCCCGCAACCATTATTTTACCGACCTCGTAGTTTTGAGATCTCACGCGG